TCACACTGTCACAACAATCTGCTTCCCGTCTCAGTGAAAGCAATACATCAAAATGCCTAAGCATAAGGATGGTCCGCGAAATAAAATGTCAACCTACGGCCATCTAAAACACATCTTTGCTGCATCCAAAGCCCTAAACCGAACATGCAAGAGGAAGGTTGTCCGATTTCTTACAAGACTGGGTTTGATCAATCGCACACGGCATGGCTTTTTCTCAAAACACTCCTGCGTTGTTTGCCAGCTATAATTCTTTGGTTACGTCCCAACTATGATTTGCGGAGTAATAGCAATCATGATAATTCTGTCGGATATGTAAAAGGCGTTCGACCGCGTACTGCACAAGCTCCTGCTTTCCGTTCTACAGTCATATGGCATTGGAAAATCTTTGCTAAGCTGGTTTCCATTCATACCTAAACGATCGAACCCAGATAGTCAGATTTGGTCAATATACTCCACGCCAAAACAAATAACTGTCGACCTTTTCCAGGGAAGTGTGCTGGGACCACTAATTTTCCTAATCTACTTAAACAATGGATTCGACCTTATCAAACACAGAAACACATTTCTGTTTGCTGATGACGTCAAACTGATCTACACATTTCATCTATGCCAACTACAAATCCGCGTAGGAAGCATCCGTGAAGACCTATACGCATTAATTATAGCCAGTGAACGTTTGCTAGTGAAGATCTCTACAGTACAATCTCAAGTACTTTTGTACAGATATCGCATTCGGAAGGGTCTGTCACACTTGCCGGTAATGTGACCCCAACCTCTGATACAGTTCGGGACTTAGGAGTTAGGTACTCGAAATCTTGCAATTGTTCCCAACATATGCTTTATCAGTTTGCAAAACGTTGCAGTTATACGCATGCATTACCAGAAATTTCTTCACGCCTGAAAAACCACTTGCGTCATTCAAATAATCGCACGGCCGTTTCTGGACTACTGTACTACCGTTCAAAGCCAATGGAGAAAGAAAGACAGAACATATCTGGAAAATCTCCAAGGAAGTTTTACGAAGCTGGGCATGGACGCTGCTCAATCATGAGTTATCCTAATTGCTGAGGAATACTCCAAATGGATCCACTTTGGGTGCTGCTTAAAGAATATCCTTCTGCAACTTTATTAACCAAGGAATCTACACAGGCAACACCACACTTGAGCTGCTGGAGACTGAAATCTATCCCTCAAGTAATTGCATCTACTTACTACCCTCAAACTTTGAAACTCATGAAACTCGATCGATCTGTGTAACAAACTACCCCTACAGATACGCCTGAGTGCAAACCATATCACAGTTCGAAATTTCCTGTAGACTTTCCTCACTAGACCAAATGTGTTGAGGACCTTTGCTCAAATAATCTCTAGAAACATTGACGTAAGATGGCATAAAAACATGTGAAAAGCTAGTTGCTTACAATTCGCTTGCTCTCTGCATATCATTACTCACAAAACCGAATTTGTGTCCGTGCAACTTATGAACAATGAACAATGAATTGCTACGGGTTAAAAAGCGTTGCTTTACAAGTCCCGTCAAATAGTTGGTGGGGATATCTGAATAATAATAAAACGGCTAGTACTTTAAGTGTGAAAAGAATGACCTATCGTATGTTCCGCTGTAGTCTTGCCATCCGCGTACACTCAAAGCACTCACAGTCAACAACAAATAAATCCAAGGTACACTCCAGGTGTAGGATGGAGACGGAGCGCTAAGTGACGAAGTCCAAGTGGATGCGTGCTTCATCCAACCATCTTTTAAACACTGTTAGTGTCGGTACAGAGACGACCGATTCTGGGAGAACATTCCATGGGTGACAAACAAAAATGGAAAATATGTCCGTGGCACTCCAGACGGCTATACTGTTTTGTGAGTTTCAATGGGTGGCCTCTCGGGGTTGTATTGGTTCTGAGTCGCAGTAAAGGGCAGTACACATGATGTGGGTTTCGCAGAATCCAGTATACCATAATCAGGTCACCTCGTAGTCTGTGATAGCTTCCGCTGAATATCCCAATCATTGCAGCCTCTGCTCGTAGGAAAGATTGCGCATTCCAATTACGTACTTAGATGCCTGACGTTAACGCTGCTCCAATGCATTAAGGTCGTGTTTCAGCCATGGATGCCAAGCTTGAATTGCGTATTTGACATGGGTGCGAACATACGCACTGAGCATTTGTCGAAATATGGAGCCGTTTGTTTGTCCAAACGCCCGTCACAATAGCCCTGACGTGTTGGTTTCCATTCTTCGAGGCCTTTTCGGATTGACTGTAGCAACGCAAGTTATCTTGAACCAGTACGCCCAAATCACGTTCCACAGTTGATTATTGCAGTACATTCGTTCCGAGCCGGTATGAGTAGTTCCTCTGATGTTTTATGGAGAGTATCTTGCATTTACACACATTATAAGGCAGTAGATTTTCAGTTGACCATTTTCCTGCCGTAATTGCCTATCTGAAACCCATGGTGGTTGGCTTTCGCCTTGATCCTGCGGGTGGGGGTAGTTAAGTTTTGACTTTAGCTTGGTAGCGGTTGTACTATTTTGCGCGTAATTCCATGATGCCAGCCACCATTTTGTTTGCTATTTTGACGTTGGAATTATAAGGGTTTTGCCAGCTTGAAATTGCGTCAGCTGGGTTCATAAACATTGCTACTGTGGGTAAATATTTGGCCGGCGTTCTCCCACTTATCCTGAAATAAGTGTTGGCGTTGTATGCGTAGACATGAAGACATAAACATTATCTCAGATGGTCTAGCTGGACCTCCCTAGTTTATAGCATTGTTCGATTCAGAGCGGCTCAGCTTCTAGTGTTTCTGAAGGCAATTCGGGGACGTTGTTTCCGCTACGTTTGCCTACTCTCCGGTTACTCGCGGATAAGCCATAGCTTGCTTCATTTGGGCCAGGTTTGGATTGGTTTTTGGTGTTGACAACATGACGACCTGAGTTTTGGCTTTGCACTATATAGGTCGCAGGTACAGCCACTGCCAGCTAGTTTAAATTTTCTTGACTGGGTGAAGGGAAAAATAGTTGAGTGTATAGTCAGCAGGTGTCTCCAGCATCGCTGGGTTTTCTTGGTTAACGTTGAGGACTTCTCACGAGACCGATAAAGACTGCAATGCCAGTCATCTCCTATTGTTGACGACGCGGTTAACTTGTCAAGATCAACATTGCTGAGGTCAGCGTCGGTACTGGTTTCAATATTAGGAACATAGGGCGATTGATGGGCGGCTGGGTTCGTTTCAGAGCTAGTCGCCTATGAAGAAGCGCTTGGTTGTGTTTGATTATAATGTTTTTGAAATTCATTTGTGGGACAACTAGTCCAAAATTGATGGCTTGTTCGAACCATGCTAGCTAGATGGTCGATACAAATGGTTAAACAAAGCCACCATTTTTATGAACACAAGTAGTTTTGCATTAACTGAAGACCCCTGAGGGACGCATAGGAACATGGAAATCTCCTATTGTAAGGCAGTGCGACTAAATTGTTAACGGCATTTTGAACAAGGTTTAACAAAATATCCTCGATGTCTGCGGAACAGTTCGAAGGATCGTAGACATTAGCCGAAAGAAAGGTACCATGCGTTTTCTCCTTAGGTCCACCATATTGTCCTGGTATTTGCAGTTGGCAAAATGAGGCTTCAACAGTAACAAAGTGAATTTCGTGGTAAACAGAAACACTGCCGGTAGATGGAAGCTCATTCCGTCTAGAGAAGGGTAGATAAGATCGCTAAGTATCTGCTCCATCTGTCCCACCAGCTTATACTGGAAAACCACGGGGTTTTCAGCGGGTAGAAACTGTGTCCCACGTGACATAATGGATTATCGAAACCACGAGGCCGGGTCACGTTTGCCACTTCCTTCTGAAACCAAGCCATGATAACAACTTGAGCAGCCACACTCGAACTTAGACCGCGAAGTATTACTGAATGGAGTGCCTCCGGAATTTCCACTCTCTCCCTCCAAAGGTGATAGCATGGAAGGCGTTTACAAAATTGACCACTGCTGGGTAAACGCGATCAGTACACAACAAATATTCATAGCCATCAGACTTACGTACATTAGTTGGAATACAACCTATTCATAGCGAGATAACGTGAAGTAGGTCAGGGGTACTCCGCTCCTTATAAAGTCTGAGTAGACATATTTACATCCATGGTCCTAGGAACAGGATCATGTGACCAATATCGCACGGTTTATTTTACTGTCACGCTTACTTTTACCTTGCCATCCTTAGGCTTATCACTATGTTGGATTTGTAATGCATGACTGTCCACGGTTTCATTGCTTTTTCTCACACTAAGAGCCATCCTACTATCGGGCTGTACCAAAACCGAAATTGGCCCCGATTTCAAAACCATGCCTTTGAATATTGACGATGAGAAAGCATCTGCATTCTCGATTAAAAAGTACTCAACTATCAGTAAAGTCCGACCAGTGTCGTCGAAGGTGGTAACTTACTGGCTGCGAGATCCGGCTCCGAATCGCCATAATTAACGATTCCATTTCCCTGTAGCACACTCGGTTGTACCACCTCATGCATCCCATCAGAAACTTGTAGTAATATTGTACAATATTTCTGAAACGGGCAGTGTGCCACTGGCCTGATCAAAGGATTGATTCAGGATCTGCCCTGTTTTGCAGAGGTCTTTCCTTCGTCTGTTGAGATTAATTTGATATATGCCTGAAATATGTAATTCTGACATGACTAACTAGTCGTTCTTCTGACTTGTATTTGGTCTAACCGATTCCAGTGCTGAACAAAACCCCATGTTGTGAACTACATTCCAGTATACCGAAAATAAGCAGTTGATTTCATTAGCGTAAGTTATCAGTTAATCATTCAGAGAGGCTTTGGATACTAGCTATTTACTAGATAGGATATTATAACCAGCGACAAATTTGTTAAGCTACACACTTGGAAACCAGATTAAGTCATGCAGAGCACCAGTTAAATCGAAATCGTGGGCATATTCATATACATTGGGGCAATGAGAGGCTCACCTGATCTCTTGCTGTCCTGAATTGAGCCGCATCAGATTTCCCATCGCGATTCTTGTGTTTTCCGGCTTTAAAATCCAACAAAGGTTTACTGGCAAATTTTTCAGCGCGTTCGATAAACATTGTGGGGAGTTGACCTTTCCTGTAATTGACGAAATAGATTAGTTGGAGAAACCCCGTTCAAATGCAAGTCACTCTACTGTCTAGCGTGTGCCAGGCTGACTCTTTGGGTAAACAGCTTACCTCCCACCAAATGAAACACTGAACGACGACGCGGATACTCGCTTCACTATGAAACTTTGGTCCATTGCTGTTAGTGACGGTTACCTGTTTGTACTAATATAGGGGGTATCACGTGCAGTAGCAGTGGCAGCGACAGTGGCAGTAGTGGGTACATACCTACACATCAAAACAACTTAAAATAACGAAACAAGCGACGAGAAATTGCAATGACTATACAAGGTGGTACATGTCGACACTGGAACTTTGATTTATCACCTGACTAAACACCAGTGCGAGTAACATCCAACATGTGCCTTTGGCTGATACCAAAAGAGAAAGCGGTTTTCATAATAACTCGCGATTTAAAGAGCTAGTACATGCTCAATGTTGACTCAATTCCCTCTCATATCTGCTGTATCATTTCAGCGCATCCCTCCCCACAGCTACTACTACTTGTTACCACCTGTCGATTAGTAAGGATGTTACTGAAGCGTCGGCAAATAGGGACACCCAACGGTTTAACTACGACTGCAGGGAACGCAAGCGCATTCCATCTGTGAGTTCTCGACGGGCAGCCATGCGATAATGCATCAGTAAGTGTCCGTTGTACCTGCGGGAATAACCGCACGCTACCTGTGGTCATGAACGTTGCAAGTTTCGCGTTATTACTCCTTCAGTTCCGTCACCCAGTATTGGTTTCTGGTCCCAACCCCAGAAGCTCGCCGCTGTCCCAATGCAATGTGCAAAGCGCTTACGAACAATGGGTCGGCTCTCGTTCCCAAATCCGAGGCAGCCATAGCTTCCAAATTTAACCATATATGGAGAGATTTCGCTGTGATTCTTTACCAGCACTACCCCCACGATCGTTTCCGTCATCTAGATGAGCCATCAGGCAGAGATAACTGTGGCTTGATGCGGAATTTGGGACAAAATGATTGGCAGCTGACGTTTTGAAAATTATGCCTCTGGAATCCGTAGACAAGCCGTGGAACAACGGCTGGAAATTCAGTGACACATATTGGCCTACTCGCCGTGCTTATCTAATGTAACAATCTGTAGGTAGACCTCAATTCCCTTTGAAGTAGACCTCTATCATTCCGGTCAGTGTAACCCAACATTGACTTCATGACCAACGCAAAAGTTTTGCTCAGTGAGCTCAGTGGTCTAATAATCATGGCGTCAGCCGTCAACCATTACAGCACTAGTTTCACTCTCCGTTCAAGGCTACCTCAGGGGACGAGTTCGAATAAACACGGAACTAATGGAGTGTAGCAATGGATGCAATCAACATCGAAAAGTACACACTTTGGACACAATCTCTGTGATCGACCTACTTCGAAGTAAACTTAGTTCCGAGTAGATACGGTTTGATATGTTCCAAACGAAGTATTCCAAAACCTAACCTTAGCCCAATATATGTGAATACCGCAGACTCTGCTGATGTATAATGGGAATGTTCCTGTTATAACTTTGGCGGTTACTTTCTCGTGGGATCTGTAGATGTCATTGATAAAGGAGAACAATCAGCACCTATTATTTGGAAGGAGGTGAGCAACAAGTGTGGCGCGCCATTTCCGGTCTGCTAATTAGATATATTATCATGATAAGTAATTTAGGCATACAGATCAACTATATCTTTCGAATAGTTTGAGGTCTGCTTTTACAGCTATCCAGCTGCTTGGTCTATGACGAAAGATGGACGTTCCACTTGTTGGTTCCAGCTCACTCATTCCAAACACGTCCCATTTAACCAAAAAATGATTCAGCTCACCAGAAAAAATGGATTGGATTTGTGCCCTTTAGTTTCACGTGCACGATAATACGACGGAAGTAAAAATGTACCTATCAGTCCTCCTGATATCTGTCAGAATGCTAAATAACACTCAGGGGTTTTTCTGTTTTTTTGCCGTTTGTCAACACAACTAGTTTCATTACCGCACTTCCTGGGTATTCGTTTTGTAATTGAAACTTTTCACCGAATCAAATTGGACATCCTAATGAGCGTTGAATTGATTGAGATTCAGTTAAAACACTGAGCCCGCAGCCGAGAAGGAAATATGTTCGGTGTTGGTCGCTCCAAACACTGCACTTCACGATAAGATTCCTTAAAAGTCGAAGTTTTCAGGTAACCATAGCAGGGCTAAGTCTCTACCTAGTTTTATTGTTGTACAGCTATTAAGGCTTGAAAATACAAACAAGAACGAAGCGAGTTGACCAACTAGGTTATAATAATTAACCAACCTATAGAGCTTCATCCAGACTCGTCTAAGATGAGCAAATAGCTGTCTAGTTTGCTTTTGGTGCTGTATAAATGCCTTCAGAATTTTGCGCTGGTACTCAGTGGATGGACCACTCAACATATTGTCTGGGATTCACTATCACACAGCCTCCAGGGCGAGTAACAATAGCCCAACTTATAAGATATATCGGTGTGCAAATCCACCCCCTGATTACTATCAAGCCAGGACCTACAGTGACCAATTTGATCTGGCCGAGCTGCGAAGTATGGTTTATCAGTAACCTTTCTTATTTATCTTTCGCGCCGTCGTTCTCATGGTAAGGTTGATGTTTGCATAGAGTGGCATAGAGTGACATACACTAGATATGTCTTAACCATGCATATTCCCTATTTATTTTGTGTATTGTCTGTTTCGAAAAGCACGGAAAGAAGGCGAAGGCTGGTAGATGCATGCATTTCGTATTGTCTCCTCAGTACCACTAACAATAACCGATATGCATAGATATAGCTAACAGTGGATGCAACCAAACAAGCTTAAGGTGCAAAACGAATAACGGAATTTCACGCCCGCGTCCAAGGCAGCTTTAGGCTGACAAATAATTGTTTCTGAACACACAAGACTGGCTTAATCCGGCTTATAGTGACAGTCTCATCAAACCGAATGAAGCGGGGATTAGTGTGACGTAACACAACTTTAAACGCTGAGCCCAGCTCTATCTGGTGACCCGAGTCTAATGAGTGTTTGCCTATCGAGGAAGCCAGCGGTCTGCGCGAACATGGAATCTGACGAGGGTAGGCAATCTGAGCAACTTCACGTTGAACCCATCTTGGTACATGTTCCTTTATTCGGGAAGTCAGCGTTCGATTGGTTCTGCCTATGTAACTTTTTCCGCAGTCACATACAAATTGGTATACACAGTGTGAATTGGCCCCAATAAACTGAGCTTACTTCGTTGGAGGTATGGGCAAATTTCGAGTTCGGTTGATGATGACATCATGTGCAGCATAGTAACTTCCTTGTGTAGCCGAAACTATACGCTTAGTTGTCTTCAGCGTGGCTAAGTCACCTTTGAATGGTAACTCGATATACACTTTCTTCTTGGCTGCCGTGTGCACCAAGTCCTTTTGTCCTCGCGGTTGGCTGTGTTTCTCGATAAATCTTCGAGGGTAGCCGTTCGCCATTAGTCTTGCTGTAATTAATACTAGCTCATCATCCAGACAGTCGGCCGAACAAATTCGTCTGGCACGACTAACTAGAGTCTTCACAAGTGTCCGTTGGTATGGCACTGGTATGAAGCTGGTGAAGTGCAGGTACTGACCAGACCAAGTTGATTTGTGGTAAATGGACCTCTTAATCAATCCATCCTCCCTGCGATTTATGAGTATGTCCAGGCATGGTAGACAATTGTTTTGTTCTATTTCACATGTAACTCGTAAGTTAGCATGAGCGCCATTGAGCCGTTCTACCAAATGTGTGAGTTGCTGCTCCGACGAACTGAAAGCCAAGATTTCATCGACATATCGTTTGTAGTAGGGCATCTGGGCTATTTCCTTAGAAATGCTTCTTTCTACCATCAACATGAAGAAATCAGCGAGCACAGGACCTAATAGGCTACCCATTGCTACGCCGTCAATCTGACGGCATGGTGTATTCCGGAAGTGAAAATCCACATTCTCCGTGCACAATAGTAGAAATTCTCTTAGCAATTCAGTCGGAATTGGTAGTGAACAGCCACCGCCTTTAGCTAATTCGCACACGTAATCAACCGTCTGATGTAGCGGCACGTTGGAAATAAGGATTCTACATTCAAGGAACATGCGACTTTGTCTGACAGGTTGAGTTCATCCAGGTCATCAATGAGTTGAAACGAGTCTTTAGGACTGTACAAATTGAACTGTTGTTCCAGCGGAGATAGCAACTTTGCTAACCAACGAGAGAGTTTGTGCTAGGGCACGTTCATCTTTGAAAGAATTGGCCTGAGTGACACTTCACTCTTATGTGTCTTTGGGGACCCATACAACTGTGGAATAGTGCTGGTTGATTTTTGTTTAGTTTCGGTGTTAGTCGGTTGATTTATTCTAACACACACTCTTTCTAAAGAGCAGTCTAACACTGGGTCAGGAATAATAAACCGTTTCCGTTTTGTTCTGTCATGCAGCCGTACACTTACTGCCCAGTTTAATTGTTTATTTTCTTTCATATTCTTTGTTGTTGGCTTGATATACCCGGTGTGCATACGGTTGATGTGAATACTGGCGGGGTGTCTACCTGTCGAGAAAAGCTTTCCTCCAGTATACTAGCTCCATGAGGCAGCTAGTCGTTGCTTTTGGAGTCGGGGAGCATAATCCTCCTGACCGTGATTCTTCACATAGATAGACAGCAATGCTGTTCTGCATATTGAAGGAGTGTGAGTCGTCTCCGATCACGAAACGTGGCTCTCATCCACATGCCTCCCGGTCTTATTCCTTCGGGTTTACACTGGATATGGGGTGTGTGGATGGAGCTGTGTGGGTGCGGCTCAGGCCACCCGTGATCCCTAGGTAACCACAGGTGGCCTGTGCATGCCCTATGGAGGCCTCAGTTACAGGCAAATCCGAAACCGGAAGCAACCAATAATTATATATATATATATATATATATATATATATATATATATATATATATATATATATATATAGGT